GTGCCAGAAATGTAGTTTATTTAGCAATAGAATATTTCTGGAACACAAGACTAACAGCAGGTTGTTTTACAGTGGGATGTACTTACTTATACAATTCAAAGTTCTGCGTCTCATCATTCCAGTAGTATTTAGTGCTGTGGTGGGTGAAGTAGTGGATCTAAGAGGGGGGACGCAGACGGGAAAGAGGAGATCAGACATCGAGCTTTACCGATAAACCAGCCAATTGCTGATCCAGACTCCAAACGTAAATTCCTGGAATCTGGAAAAAAAAATCTGGAATAAGCTTCAGATGAGCAACACATTATGAAAAAAAGCACCTGAGTATGTTGCCTGTGGGAAAATTTCTCATGATGATCCTCGTGCGCAGCACTGATGCATTGGTCTCCGTCTCCATTTGGCAGCTGAGCCGTAGACTGCAGATCAAGACTGTCGAAGGGTTTCTTCCCTGGGGCCAACATCACATGCACTTTGGCTCGAAACCACTGCCTGAACTCATCCTGTGGTAACAACGCAAAGAGTTCCATTTTCCCTGAGGCTACAATGAATTTATCATTTGTGGCGCAATACAGTATGTGTGCCAAAGAATGTAACAAGTGGCAGGATAATTTGTAAGTGAACTCAAACTTCTGTGAAAGAAGAAACAGATTCACATACATGTCCTGATGAGTGTGAGTGCTCCGAAATACAGATACAGTAAATCTATTTTGAATTATTTTTGTTTGTTTGTTTGTTTTAGCAGGGGAACACAGATATTGCTTCTGAATTTACATGGGTCTATTGCAACATATAGGCAGTTTCCTTGTATTAATACAACATACTACAGAAGAAAATTCTATAAAACTCAAGCAAATCAAGTAAAAGGTGTGTAAAAGGAAGGCAAGGTCTGCCGTTTTCCTACCGTGGTCCTGAGCAGCAGTGTGCGTGCGTCCCTCAGCGAGGTGTGTGTGCAGGTGCCCTTGACGCCCCATTCAGGCAGCCAGTAGAGCAGCAGCAGCAGGAGACCCCCGGAGCACACAGCACCCACACCCACCAGGATCATCTTCCACAGACAGGGCTGGTACCCCCACACCTCCTGCACAGGCAGACACTCTTTTTAACACACTGACAGGCAGGGCAAATACACTGCTCTGTGGCTTGTAGCAGAGACACCTGGTAACATACAGTATATCAACTGGGTCCAAAATGTAAGAATGACAATATATATGTTTGGAGGTTGTCTAATTGTAGTGATGTGCGGATATTTCTGATACCAACGTTTCCCATTGTAGGATCAATACTGATATAAAAGGTCTGATATCTAAACTCAGTAATTTGGAGTGAGTGTGTGTTTTATCATAAGTATCTTACTGTCACCAGGATGGTATAATTATACTCTGTTGAAAGGAACTACTTCTCCTTCTGCCTGTCAAAGAAATGCTTGCGCTACACAGAGCTTCTCTGAAGTGAGCCTCTGCAGCCCTTTACATTTCCCACGATTGAATACTGACTAAGGCTGACTGTAAAAGCAGTCAGGTCTGGCTGTATTTTAGCTGTGAAGGTAATAATGACATTGTGGGTGATGTGTGTGCAAAGACAGTGAAATACTTTGGCAACACCGCAAACTTCACTAAACATCTGAGATTAAGTCAAAATAATATAATGATCTTGAGAATTATTAGGTATTATTTTGAATTGGTGAGCCTACAGCCTCTTTATTTCCCTCATACAGAAAGAAGGGGGGGGGGGGGGGGTATGATATGAGGAAAGCTTAATAAAGATGGGAAATGATATTTACCATCTCATCCTCCAGTCCCTGGTTCACAATCTTCCCCTCTCTCATCTTCACTCTGTCAGAAGTGCAACAACTACAAGGAAAAGGAAAGGTCACTTTATTATGTTTGCAAAAGGTGCTTTACTTACAGACATTTCTTATCATAGAAGTCTTCGACGAGTTCTCACTTTTGTGACTTCTGAAGCAAAACCAGCTCAAACAGGCAAAGGGAGTGAATAAGTTATTCATTCTCTAATATACATTCCTCACTGGAGATGAACAGATTCTGTGTTTGTATGGCGTTAGAAACACAATTGGGATAACACAAATTCATAATCTGCAAATCTGCATATAGCAGGGGAAATACCCTACCTAAGTAGTAAGCTTTCTAAAGAAGAGAAAGATCTCTCTTGCAAGTAACAACCTGACTGAACCGCAACACCTACCTGCCTCATGGCAGCCACATAAAAAGACACTGTGCTCAAAGCAAAAGTGATAAACTGAAGAAAACAGCTACCATTACTAAGGTTTCTCCTTATCATTCTTGATTTTGTTGATGGAGACTGAACTACTGGTCGACTGCCTCATTTTGGCTTGATTGCAGATGGATTCCTTTCATTATTTCAAAAACGCTGAAATAAAATCTCTCAGTGAATTCACTGTTTTTATTTCCTTTGAACGACAACTTTACTGTGGTGTCACTGGATGTATTAAGACATGCATTAACAAGTCCCATCTGTTGGACTGCACCCACCTGAGTCTCAGGGCACACTAACCTGTCAGGTTACTCACAACTCTATTGATAACTTTATTGACATTAAGCTGTGCAATGTGTTAAAATGAATTGTGTTTTGTAGTGTTGTGTTATGGTCTTAAGCAACGACCCAGTGCAGGACGGGCTGCAAGACATGGAAACTTTGAACCATGCACACATGTTTATGTTCAATAACAGTCACACCTATTGTAATGTTTGACTCTTAGTCTATCTGACCTGACCTCTCATCATCACAGCACTATGACACTTCATCCAAGGAAAGAAACATTACTTAGACACAGACAGAAAACAAATAGTTGTAGATTAGCTACAAATGTCAGATCTGTAGTTTCAACAGCTGAACTAGAGATGTTTGTATATGCTTTTAATTCATCTCGCATTGACTACTGTTATGCATTATTCTCATCTCCTAGCATGTCTGTGCTTGACGGCCTGCAGGTAATCTAAAATGCTGCCGCAAAAATCTCTCTAGGACAAACACACTGTCTCACATTACCCCTAATACCCCTACTAAGATCCCTTCAGTGGCTCCCTATTGCATATTGGATCCACTTCATAATCTTAATCATAATTTCAGAGCACTGCAGTCAGGCCCCTGCATATTTGATGTTTGGCTCAACAACTATGCCTTTGCTGATCAATTCGGACCTGCACCCTGATTCTGTGAATTCTTTAAAAAGGCAGCTGAACACACACCTGTTTAGACAGGTGTATGGGTAACCTGTATGCACCATGTCTGCACTTTATGTATTTATCGTTTCTTGGTACATATGTATTTATTTTGCAGTTTTAACCACTTGCTGTGCAATAATTATGTATTGTTATGAAGTACTTTTTTTTGCTCACTTCTTCATGTTGCTCTGGTCATCATTTTATCTTATTTTATCTTTTTTATATTCTTTGTGTTTTTATTTTGTAAATGTAGCTGCAAAGCACTTTATGACTCTGTGAAAATAGCTAAACAAAAGTTTACTTAAATAAAGAACTGTTTGCAAGTACTCACTGCATCTCTTATGACAAATACAACAACACAACACAAAAGCTGAACTTTTTGTCCATCATACTAAAACTATGAAACCTTCCCAACACCTCATATCACCATGAACACCACCCAAACCCTCATGAAGGCTGGTGGTGGCTGCATCATGCTGTGTGATACTTCTCTGCAGCAGGTTGTGGACGGCTTGAGGAGGTAATTCAAGTCAAATAATAAGAATAAAGAGAAATCCTGCTTGAAACCCTACTGCACTCCGCAAGTGAACCGGGACTTGGGCTGAGATTTATTTTCCAGCAGGACAAAGACCCCAAACATAAAACCAAAGCTACACAGGACTGGCTTCAAAACAACTATGTTAAAGTCCTCGGCCGCCAAAGTCGAGTCCAGATTTCAATCCAGTCCGGAATTTGTGGCAGGAATTAAAATGTTCTGCGCAAGCAGGGTCCCCTATGCAACCTAAAAAACTTTATACACAAGGCGTGTACGGAACAAGAACTGGGGGGACAGATTCCAGATGTGCAAACCTATCAACATAGACTCAACTTCATGACTGTAGCTGATGCAAAAGGTGCCTCCACTAAACACCGACTTTAGGGAGCGAGCACTTGTATGCAAACAATAGTTTATGTTTATTGTACTTAAATTACCTTTGTAGAGATTTCAAATTGACCGGCAAGTGTCAACAAATTCTAATTATCCCACCGCAATTCAATTGTAAAACAAACTTGACTTTTTAACAGCCTCCTGATGGCTGTAGCGGCAACATAACCAGACGTGTCCCATCAGAGTGGAAAACATTCCACAAGGTTGCAACACTGAATCTTTCAGCACAAAATAGCACATTTTCAGTCTCGGTTTGTATCATTTCTTACAAGTCACACAACCATTTCGAAAGTTCCTGCTGAGCAGTGATGACGCGTATAAACACCGTGTAAATAAGCACACTCAAGACTTACCGATGCCCCTTCCCTTCTCTGTCAATACATCAGACGTTGCATAGTCAAGAGGAGTCAACCGTTAAAGAAAACTGTTAAACTGTTGCATCAAATTCTGCTCGGATCCCCTGTGCAGCCTTGTAACACCGTGGATCAAACATGTGTCTGCAGACACGCGTCGATAGGAGTTCACGCTGCGCGGTGACCGGACCGTCCCAAACCGGTCCATTCAGAAGGAAGTGGGGAAAACAGGATGTGAGGTCATTAGAGGACACCGTGTTGGGGCTGAATGGCTGAAAGTTGGAACACATCGGAAAAGCAGTCATCCTGCAGACAACCGTTGAGACTGTTGGTCAGGTTTAAGATCCATGCAGTAATATAGCGCTTAAATAGCGGTCCACTGGTTGCAGGACGTTTAGCTGTGAGACTGGTGGTATTACAGGTCAGTGGCAGAGACTGTGACTTGTCTGAGATCTCAGCAAGTCCTGGGACACCCCTTTGGGTCATTCTCACAGATATTCGGACAAAACTCAAAGAGACAGCTTTGGTTTTAAAATACATTTATCTTCACATTAGCAATTTACACACTGATGAAATATTTTGCAACAACTACATATTGCGAAAACAAGTCCGCATTCTTTTAGCATAGTAAATTAAGGGTGTTAAGTACAAAATATGATAAAATTACAAATCATATAGGACTAACAAGGGTACACATTTTCACACCCTTGCACGGTCTGTACATTCAACCAAATACAAGAATCTTGAGCTCATTCATGCTTTCAGGTTACCAAAACAAAAAAAAGAGACCTTTCTGTATGGGCAAGTTAGGCTTTATTTTCCACGTCTTTTACAGCCTCCTGCAGCGTGCCAGCTCCACGTCCTTTACCTGAAAGAAAAATCAAGTTTTATTTTTACTCCAAAACAATCAGAAATTAAACCAAACCAGTTAAATACCAAAGAAAGACAGTAAATCCAAGTTACAGTTCCTTGCTGTTTTATGAAACCCTACCTAAATACTACCTAAAAATATTACCCAAACAAATACAGACATAAAACCAGCATCGGATTTCTACCTGTATCAAACATTGGATGGATTTGGGCAAAATATCACCAACTGAATATCAAAAACCATCTGATGCAAGAAAAAAAAAAACAAACAAAAAAAAAAAAACACATGCTCTGTACAGATGATGGGAACTGCAGAGCTGGGTGTAATTCTGTGTGTTCATCAATACCAGCTACCCCTTTCACATTACTAGTAGTCATTGGTTCCACTGTAAAATGGTTAGTGCAGCTTGAAACTCTTTACTTACTCTACAGTGATACTTTGATATGCCAATTAAACTAAAATTAAAAATTAAAATTAAGTGTTACCTCCTCTTCCACCAGCCCCCTGACCTGCAGGCTTACCAGCGGGACGTCCCGCTAACCCTCCTTTGGCGCCCGGGGGGCCCTTTTCACCCTTGGGTTTTGCATAAGCAACAGTCACTTCGCTGCCGTCGATCTCGCAGTCCTCCATGGCTTCTTTGGCAGCTTTGCAGTTGTCTTCCCTCTCAAAGTCCACAAAACCAAACCTGAGAAAAATATAAACGCAAGTCAGGGTAAAGCAGACTTCCAGAATAACTAAAACATTTTTTTTTAGAGAATTATGATAATAGAAAGATAACTTCATGCTATCCACCTTTTTGAAACTCCTGTCTTTTTATTTACAATGACTCTTGCACTGACAGCCCCTTCAAAAGCACTTTTAAGAGTCTCTGCGGTCGTCTTCTCAGCGAGGCCCATCACGATCAGTGTCTTTGATAGGACTATAGAGGAGGGGAAAAAACAATTGTGGTATCAGCGTTTGCCCGATTAGACGACTTGTAACAAAGACATGAATAATATGACATGCATACCTTTTGCCTTTGCTTGCATTTTGCAGAATTGTACTTTGACCTCCCTTTTGCAGATCTTAATGTTTTGGGACGACTCAAATGCCTTTTCAGCATCTGCCACAGTTGCAAACTCGACAAACGCAAATCTGCGAGGATTACAGATGATTTTGGAGAATATTCAAATACTCTTTATTGGGAAATAAAAAAAATAAAATAAAAAAAAAGAGTAGGGCACTGTTCATGTACTTACCCTCTTGGTCTTAGTTTGCCTTTGCTTTGAGGTACGCTTTGAGGTATGTTTATACTAACAGCTTTCTGAAAGGCTTTCTTGAGGTCTTTTTCTTTCACAATGCAAGACAAATTGCTCACAAACAAGGTGTCACTTGGTAAAGCGGCAGCTGTGAGAAAGAAAAAAACAGCTTTTGTCAATACAGGTTAATTGATTAAGTCCTGATGTCCAGACTATTGTTCATACAGAAAAAGAAAAAACACACAAATCTACAGTATTATGTCAGCTATTGACAGTACTGTAAATTTCTAAATGTCCAGTGATCTACCTTTTGTTTCGCTGTTGTCGACGTCCTTAGCTTTGGCGACTTTAGGCACTTTTGTTTCTCCTACACAGTCCACAATCAAAACCCGGCCTTGGATCTTGGCTACTCGTTTTTTCTCCAGTATTTTCTTAGCAATGGTTTTATTTTTGAACTCCACAAAGGCGATACTGTTAAACAAAACAAGGGAATTTCATTCAGTACTATTTACACATTTATTTTCTAAATAAACATAACCATTACATTACTAAAAATTAGGGATGGTGATGGTGCAGTGGATAAGACACGTGCCTTTGGTGTGGGAGACCAGGGTTTCATTCCCACTGTGACACATCCCTGGGCAAGACACTTAACCCCTAGTTACTCCAGAGGCGTGCAACGTCTGATATATATAGTAATTGTATGTCACTTTCGATAAAAGTGTCAGCTCAATGACTAACTAATTATAATAATCAACTATGCTGTATACACTGTCTACTTAGGAAGTGAGCTTTAATGCAGGTTTTTAAACGCTCACCCTTTGTTTGGGCCTTCAGTTCCACCAGGAAACCTGACAGCCACAGCCTTGTGGAAGATTTTCAGAATTTCTTTTTTTGTTGCACTGTACGGGACGTTCTTCAGAAACAAACATCTGTCATCTTTGGCTGCCAAAAACAGGTTAGTCCTCAAGTCAGGCCATGAATCTGTACCAATCTCCTTATACTTAAAGATGTTTTACAGTCCAAAATCATCGCATTATAAATCCATTATTTCAGCAATAATTGAAGAAAAACCATACTTAAATGCATATTACTTCTATAACCTCAGTGAACTACTGCTGCACTTTTATCTTAGAATTCAAATGCTTATATAATAAAACAGTTATATTCAGTTGAGTTACCTTTTTTATCCTCTGCTGGAGCGTTCACCTTATCCTTACTTTTGATCTTTGCTTTGGCGATCTTCATTGGCTTATCAAGCAGCATCTCTCCATTTAACGTCAAGGCTTTCGTCAAGTCCATCTCTGAGGCCAAATCTACATGTGCATGTGTTCTACCACAGCAAAACATTAATTTTGAGTTAATTTTGTATTTTTAAGTAAATGAACCAATCACTGTCAAATGCACTCTTCTTCCTGACCAAAGAGACCTGACAATACTAATTTAGGTTAAACAGTATACTCACTTGGACCGGTCCAATCTGATGTCTTGAACCAGGATACTTTGTGTCATCAAGTAATTTGCCAATGAGTTTTTGACTTCTTCAAATGTTTTAGAGTTGTTCAGGTTGCCGACAAAAAGACAGAAACCTACAAGAAAATAAGAAAGTAACATGTGAATATCAGGCACCTTACAGAGCAAAGCATTCAGCAGTCTGTCCTATTTTCAGTTCTTACCATCATTGATGAGCTTAGTTTTCTTTGACGGGGAGGTCTCAACAGTAGACAGTGCCTTCCGTTTCCCATTTACTGTAACCGATAGAAAATGTCAGTCGTTTGGTACAACATATTAACTAAATGAATAAGAGTAAAAGACACCTGTCATTAAGACCAAGCTCTATAAAGAACTTTTTAAAAACTATCAAGATGTCATCTACAATATTCATCTTTGTCTTAATTTCACAAAAATCAGGTAAATACTGCCTTAGAGGTTATGAAAGATTATAACAGGAGCATTTACAGTGAGGCAATTCGTTATATTTTGATACATTTAAAGCAAAGTGGATCTAAATTAGTTGAGTGTCTACAAGCAGTGTGGATGATGAGTCAACAAATCATAGAAGAGTTTTTATTGTTTTACTTTTTGGGGTTAAAAATCAGAGTGTATGAAAGCTTTAGCACATACAGCTGAGTTAGAAATTTGAATTAGGTTGCTATAGTGCCACAAACAGGAAACTCATTCTCATTACACGTCATGTGGGTAGAAAAGATTTTGTGAGTAGGACCGTGAAAAGAAAGAGAGAATGAAAGAAAAAGACAAAAATAAAGAGAACAACACAGAGAGAGAGACAACTTCTACTTGAAGCAGCCATTTTATCATAGAGTATACATTAACTCTTGGAAACATCCTTATCTGCCGTCTCTTTAACAATCATCTGTTCACCTCCACTGGTTTTCTTTTTAATATCACTGCGCTCCTGATCCTTCTCCCAGGTTACCGTTACTGTGGGCGTACTCTCACTTTCTTCAGCGACGGTGTCCATCTGAGTTTCTAAAGAGGAAGCTCCATTACTGGCACCGCTCACAATTTCACTCATAAACACATTTGTGTTGTGTCATTATATTTGCAGTACCTTCTTTATCTCCAGATTCCTGCATCACTTGTTTTGTCTCTGTTCTCTCACTGGGAGCATCCTCTGAGGAACCGACTGCATCAGTTGAGGAGATGATCTGTTCTTCTGGGGAAAATGTCATGATTTGATTTAAAAATTTTTGCAGCCTCCATTCAAGCCTAAAGAGGGCGAGTCTTTCACACTTGAGATAGATTTTATCACATTAAACCTGAATAATGGGTGGCTATTTTGGTCTCAACGCCCATATTTAAACAAAGACTAACATAACACCTGCAACTTAAATAACAAGAAACATCATTTGATTAGGAAAAATTAGAGTGAGAGTCATTTTTAGAATGACACACAATTTAAGAATGTGTTGTAATTTAGCCAAAGCAGTTTTTGTTTATAGTGGATATGTTAGTAGATATGAGCTGCCATTGACACAATATCGCTATTACTGAAGAAATATTGTGAGTCATGTTCATGTTTGAAGAAGTTTCGGAGACTGATGAAGACTTAACATAGCTTGGTTTATTGAGCCCGGCCGAGGATAGACAGCACCAGCATACAACGTGTGAACACATCAAAAGCCAACACCCAATCTGAAGGATAACAGTGCCTGTAGGATTTTACTCTTAGCAGGCCTTAACCTAGAACAACAAATCCATCTGATGTTTAGACTCCAATGCTACGTCATGGAGTCTCCTACAGTCCAAGAGTTGTACTCTAATGTGTGGAGCCAGTAAGTCCTTGTAAACATTCTTGTAAGACTCAACCTTGCCAGATTCCCAGAGAACACTGACATATGCTAGCCTTATTGTCATTATTATTGTCAAATCATAGTTATTGTCTCTACATTATCAGTCTAGATTTTGTCTCCCTAAGAAGGACATTTACATGTGAGAACTAACTAGAGCTGGAAGGTCAGTGAACACTTGTAGGGTCAGCTAATGACTCTAAGCTAGACCTGTCTTATCTTTCACTGTTACATCAATTAAGCCCCCTAAGAATATTCCATAACACCTATTACTTAAAAAAAACTTTGTGTAGCATCTTTAAGAATCAAAACATAAAGATGAATATTACACCTGCAACATTAATGAATATGTTTCAGAAGAGGACAAATCTTAATTTTCTGAAAAAATGTGATGCAATAGTAACTTCTGATTGTTGTAATCATCCTTACCACCAACCATCATCTGATCACTTGCGTTGGCTATTTTTTCCGCATCAACAACTTCTCCTTCCTTATTCTTCTTGTCCCAGGATACAGTCACAGTGGACGTGCTTCCTTTTACTTCGATGACAGCGGGCATCTGAGAATCTAAAGATGTAGCTTTGTTACTGGCACAGCTCAGAATTTCAGTCAACCATCATGTGTGATGCGTTTGCAGTACCTTGTTCATCTTGATCCTTTTTCATGTCTGTGCTCTCAGCAGGAGCCATCTCCTCTGTTCTGACTATTTGTTCACCTGACAAAACAATCTGTCCTTCTGAAACAACCATTAATCAAATGATTTGATGTTATTGCCTTTATGAAGTCCAAACAGTTGTGCCTATTGTAAATTTCTAGTTGTTTTGAAAGAAATTACTTGCCTGTGTCAACGTTGTCCCCATCTTCTACAACTTCAGTGGTGACAATTTTGCTTCGTCTTGATCTACGCCGTGTAGCCTGAAAGACAAAGACACAAACACATGTATGATATTGAATGTGTGTGTGTGCTGCAACCAAAGTTGATTCCACTACCGATTCATTTGTCAATTATTTTTACAATTTACCATAACATTATTTAATCGCATAGCAAGTAATCATTTCCCAGAGCCCAAGGTGATGTCTTCATGTCACTTGTGTTGTCTGACAAACAGTCTGAACTCCAAATATATTCTAAATATACTTTTGTAGCAAATAAAATCAGAAAATCCTCAGATTTCAGAGGCTTAAACCCAGTGATCGTTTTATAGTCTCCCTTGATAAACCAGTTAAATGTAATAACGTTACAATTACGAAGTACCCTGTTAACCCCTGCTAGAACAGCTTGAAAGTAAGTTAGAGGACTTGCTTCTGATGTGATCATCACTAACATTAGCTAACCAACTGTTAGCTTGGTTAGTTTAGTTAGTTTCTAATAAGACCATCTTAAAACTACTTCGTGCACGTTGAAGCCTGGTTAATATAAATGTAGCGTAACGTAATTCTTACGTCTGTCTTCGCCATATTTTGAGTAGCAGCAGCAGCAGCACACAATCCCAGGCAGGTACAGCTAGCTAGTCGTAGCCGGTGAAACACGTGTGTTCAGCTTAAAAACATCCACATGCGCACATAAACTACGCACTGCGCATGAGCATGTTGTGCTACGGGTGCCCATGAGGTGTTAAGCTTTATGTGATTCAACGACTTTCTCCTCCTAAATAGACACTTCATTGTGTGGACTTCACTGCTATGAGCACAGATTTGGTACATATTGGGTAACGATTAATGTTTACAGAGAACAGGCACATTGGGAGGTTTTTTTTGTCTTTTTTAACGTACAAACCGCTCAAATTTTTGAAAGCTATTTAGCTAATTCGCATAATTGAACGCTGGGGTTGGTCAACTACTTGTGTGTTTCAGCTCACCAGCAGGCTCGAGTACAGAAACCTACTTTGAATATAGCTGGCTTTCAATTTCCTCGTAGAATAATTCCCTGAACCTCTTTGTGTTTTACACAGTGTGTATTTTCGGTCGGCATGAGGCCTAAACTGTAACTCAGCATTGTGTTGACAGGAACAGGTAGAACTGGAATTGGGCATCGTCCGAAGGTCAGGTTACAGCCTCAACACGACAACTCACCAGGTGCTGATAAGGTACTATAGGGTCACACCATCCATTCAGGCTGTAAACAAGACCAATGTGAGCTGACCATGGAGGACGTGGGACCGATCTGAGGAATAATAGCACAACGTTTTCTACAATGGGGACTCAGAGGAACGGTTTCAAGAAGGAAAGCTTTATCTTATCCGTGGACGTTGGTACAACGACAATCAGATGTCACGTCTATGATAAAGTGGCAAAAGTCCGAGGATCATGCTCCACCAAGGTATTCATCTTATTTTCGCTGTCCTTTAGACCAGTGGTTCTCAAACTTTTTAAAGTCAAGGACCCCCCTAAACTGACACAAATTAGACCAAGGACCTCAATTTGATAAGATTTTGTCCCAAGGACAAGGATAGGATTTTTGCTTTTAGAGGTTTTATTACAAGTATATGAAACCTATGACCAAACCAGTCATATATTATGTCATTGCGTTACTTATGGATGGACTTATAGTGAAAATAAATAACTTCCTTTTTTGCTGGTGACCCCCTGGGGACCTCACTTTGAGAACCACTTCTTTAGACATTATGTTTTCTTTAAGACATTCTCTATACTACTGCATCCTTTGTGCTCTGCTCACTGCACTATTGTCTCAATCTGTCTAGATTGTTTTTGTTTATAGTTTGTGTATATATGTGTGATTTTATTATTGTATCATCGTATTATTATTGCAATGTACAATCCTGAGTCAAATTCCTTGTATGTGTACACATACCTGGCAAATAAAACCGATTCTGATTCAGATTCTCTATATGATGTTGGTTATATAAATCATTTTGAGAGTGAACTTTTTTTTTTTATTCTGGTACTTCTTTTTCCAGGTTGTTTCCTTGTATCCAGATATAGGACATGTGGAGATGGACCCAGAAGCACTATGGAAAGGGTTTATCACTGTGGTTAAGGGAGCTGTGCAAGGTACAGTTGCACTCTGTTACTAATGTTGCATCTATTCACATGCATGCTAAGATTAGACCGTATGAGATACATTTTACACAGTAGGCACACCCTATGACAGATGACATAATTTCTGATGAATCACTGTTTATGATGCAAAATTTGTCAACATTTCCATTTTGGTCTGGTGTGTCTTGGTTTCTGGAAGCAAAATATTGATAGATGTACACCAAGATGCCAGTTCTTCAGGTACACCTGGCTACTGTACATTCAGTGCAATCCAATTAGCTGCACTGACATAAAAAACAGCCTTAATGAGCGCATCATACTCATTTTGTTAAGATTCTGTCAGAAATGTATCGATTTAACTCTGTTTGTTTTCAAGGTTGAATTCTGTGCTGTTGTGTTATTGGATTACAGTATCAAGTATTTATTTTATTTTTTTTGGAATACATTAGAAACACTTTGGTATGCTGGTATTAAAATCCCTTGCATGCAAATGTGAACCGCTGACTAGACCGAAGTGATTATTTCACCATTGAAACACTCTGGTGGCTTTGTAAAGACAGGTATTAGGCCCAGAGCAGGACAGTGATTTAGATGGGCCATTTCTCTTTGTACAAAATAATCCCTGTGTGTGAGTCCCAGTTTCAAATTTTTTCCCCAAATATTCTCACACTTTTTTGTGTGCGTGTTGCTGTACTCATGATGTAGATGCAGGAGTTCAAATGCACCAGATGGAGGCCCTTGGCATCTCCACTCAACGAGGTACCTTCACAACATGGGACAGGTAAAATTAATACAATTAATCAAATGGCTTTTCCATCGATAAATACATACAAAAAGTCTACATGACTTGTTTGCAGACTTGAAGAGAACCATGGCAGCACACCTTTATTCGCATAGTTCTCCATCATCTCAGGTTCATTTCACTTCCTCGCTTTCACTTTGACAGGAACACTGGGGTTCCTTTCCATAACTTCATCAGCTGGCAGGATCAGAGGGCTGCAGACCTGGTGAATTCCTGGAACAAATCCTACACAATAAAGGTGAGTCTTTGACTGCTTTGCATCTTTACCTTTCATGTACTTTTACTGAATACATTTGGATATGTATCCTTAAAAAACGCGTTTGATCATGAGCAAACCTCAGGATCAGTGCTGGATATCATGTCCCTTCATACAGTATGGCTCTGATTGTATTTACCTCCCATGTCCAACATTAGGCAATCCATGGTGTGTCAAAGGTACACTACTTCCTGACCAGGCAGAAGCGTTCGCTTGCAGCAAGTCTTATTGTCTTCTCCTCTCAACATGTTACCTTCCGCCTCGTCTGGGCCCTAACACACTACAAGCAGGTGAGTGTGTGTGTGTGTGTGTGTGTGTGTGTGTGTGTGTGGCTTTGATGACCTGCTTTGTAGACACACAGGAAAAGTGTTTGAATGGAGTTGAGGCAGTTTTTACAGTGAAAAAATTTAATTGCAAAATGCATATAATATCAATGGATTACACGCTCATCCTTTCAGTAATTGTGGTCATTTTCAGAATGAACTTCCTGTTATACGAATAACCCTGGTGCAAAGCATACCCCATCAGGTTCATTATAAAAACGCAAACTGGGAGAGCCTGTTTTATCAGAACAGGCAAGCTATCAGACTCTTTAACTCTAATTCATCCGCAGCACTGCTCCAGCGATGATAGTTTATTTCTGTTCCATTTTTCATAATGGATTCTGTATTAATGTACACTGCTCAAAAAAAATAAAGGGAACACTAAAATAACACATCCTAGATCTGAATGAATTAATCTCATTAAATACTCCTTTCTTTACATAGTTGAATGTGCTGACAACAAAAATCACACAAAAATTATCAATGGAAATCAAATTTATCAACCCGTGGAGGTCTGGATTTGGAGTCACACTCAAAATCAAAGTGGAAAACCACACTACAGGCCGATCCAACTTTGATGTAATGTCCTTAAAACAAGTCAAAATGAGGCTCAGTAGTGTGCGTGGCCTCCACGTGCCTGTATGACCTCCCTACAACGCCTGGGCATGCTCCTGATGAGGTGGCGGATGGTCTCCTGAGGTATCTCCCCCCAGACCTGGACTAAAGCATCCGCCAACTCCTGGACAGTCTGTGGTCCACGTGGCGTTGGTGGATGGAGCGAGACATGATGTCCCAGATGTGCTCAATTGGATTCAGGTCTGGGGAACGGACGGGCCAGTCCATAGCATCGATGCCTTCCTCTTGCAGGAACTGCTGACACACTCCAGCCACATGAGGTCTAGCATTGTCTTGTATTAGGAGGAACCCAGGGCCAACCGCACCAGCATCTGGTCTCACAAGGGGTCTGAGGATCTCATCTTGGTACCTAATGGCAGTCAGGCTAGACTCTGTCACGTCTGTCACATGTGCTCAGTGTGAACCTGCTTTCATCTGTGAAGAGCTCAGGACACCAGTGGCAAATTTGCCAATCTTGCATCCTGCATGGTGTTTGGCTGTAAGGACAACCCCCACCTGTGGACGTCGGGCCCTCATACCACCCTCATGGAGTCAGTTTCTGACCGTTTGAGCAGACACATGCACATTTGTGGCCTGCTGGAGGTCATTTTGCAGGGCTCTGGCAGTGCTCCTCCTGCTGCTCCTTGCACAAAGGCGGAGGTAGCGGTGCTGCTGCTGGGTTGTTGCCCTCCTACGGCCTCCTCCACGTCTCCTGATGTACTGGCCTGTCTCCTGGTAGCGCCTCCGTGCTCTGGACACTACGCTGACAGACACAGCAAACCTTCTTGCCACAGCTCGCACTGATGTGCCATCCTGGATGAGCTGCACTACCTGAGCCACTTGTGTGGGTTGTAGACTCCGTCTCATGCTACCACTAGAGTGAAAGCACCGCCAGCATTCAAAAGTGACCAAAACATCAGCCAGGAAGCATAGGAACTGAGAAAGTGGTCTGTGGTCACCATCTGCAGAACCACTCCTTTATTGGGGGTGTAATTGCCTACAATTTCCATCTGTTGTCTATTCCATTTGCACAACAGCATGTGAAATTGATTGTCAATCAGTGTTGCTTCCTAAGTGGACAGTTTGATTTCACCGGAGTGTGATTGACTTGGAGTTACGTTGTGCTGTTTAAGTGTTCCATTTATTTTTTTGAGCAGTGTATATTGTATGCTATGCTGCAGAAGGGAGTTACAAAACTCAATTTCACTCTATAACCTGTTGTGACAAAACCTACCTACCTACCTACCTACTCATTCCATTCATTCTTACTTCTATCAGGTTCGTCAAGCAGTAAATGAAGGCAACTGCTGCTTTGGAACAATAGACACCTGGCTCCTGTTCAAACTCACAAAAGGTGGGTTTGGCATGTGAAGCTTATGTTAAGCTGATGCGAATGTGTCCCTATGAGCACAACTTCTTTTGAAAACCGTCCAGTGGATTGCATTTCCTACATTGTCTAACAGGATTTTAAGACCTAGACAGAATGTCCTTTGTGTTTTCAACCCTATTGCATAATTGATTGGCTGAAATTCTTAAGAAATTTTTGAGCTAACTCCTGTGGGAGAGGGGAAGTTGAGAATTTAACCGGGAGCTCATACAAGTTTTCTGCAGAAGGGGATTTTTTTGATTACATTTATTTATGTCACGTAATCTGTTGCAGGACTCGTCCATGCCACAGACTACTCTAATGCCAGTTCAACAGGAATTTTCGACTCCTATCAGGTCTGGTGTGTGTAATGTTTATTTATTGTTTCTTTGATTTGGTTTGGGGATTTTTTTGTCTCATATTACTATCATGTGACTTTTTTCACAGATGTGTTGGAGTGGGTTTCTCTGCTCTCTTCTTTCTCTCCCTCTGTCTATTTTCCCCACAGTAGAAAATACAGGGTGAGTCAACCATTTCTTTCAATTTCCAACTAGCACTTGAATCATATCTTAAGTCAGTAAAAGCACTTTAATATAAAAGCAAATATTTTTATCGCATTCACCCCAAGTGTACTTTTCTCAATATAGTCAGTTACCCAGATGTCAGAAGAAACCGCACTTTCAGTCAGTGTTTCCTAATCAGGGAATCCACACTAGTGGTTGCGAGATGGTTTGATATAGGAAATAAGAAAACAAAATGCTACAGAATCATTCTGCTACACAAAATTATGTTGTTTTTTTGGACCGTTGTTGCCTCTTCGGGCAACTAAATCATTCTTCATAACTTTACATGTTCCCTGTGACGAGGGGTCACAAATACATATTGCTTCATATTAAGAAGAAAGTTAAAATCCACTGTTAAAGTGAATATAAAATTCAGTCAATTAAATGAAACACCAATCATAACATTTTCATACATTTGAAAATGTCTGACTGGACAAGTCAGATTTATTTAGGTCATTACAAAACCCCAAAAAAGCAAACTTCTGTCTGCATAAGAGATAACATAATGTCAAAATGAATGCATTTACTGAAAATGGGGTTGGTGATGGAGCAGTGGATAAGACGCATGCCTTTGGTGTTTGAATCCACTGTGAGACACTAATGTGTCCATGAGCAAAACACTTAACCCCTAGTTGCTCCAGAGGCGTGCAAACTCTGACAAATATAGCAATTGTAAGTTGCTTTGGATAAAACCGTCAGCTAAATGAATAAATGTAATGTAAAATGTCCACTTTATGAGTATTATTCCGCTACTGATTACAACTTTTGTAATCTTTACAATTATGTAAATGTGACATTTTTATTTAAACCTTCCAGTCATTTTAACACCTGTATGTTGTTTTAATGTCACTGTAGAGCACACCACCTCAGCATAGATGTTGTATAGTTGTCATTCCAAATCTGCACTGCCTGCACTCAGCCATTGGGGAACTGACGAAAAGTGTTGTAGATGATGCATTGTCTCTGGTTTCTCCCTCACGGTGCACTAGGCAAGACTTTGGTTCCACAGACCCATCCATCTTCGGCGTGCCCATTCCCATCATGGCAGTGGTGAGTTGTTAAGGTCTTGTTGTGTCACAGTCTCTGTTATCTGTTTGATTATGATTAAAAACGTTCTTTGAATCCTTCTGATTCCATTTATGCCAGCGTGTCCCAATTTGATAGCACTGCCATTAAGCTGTAAAAAGTATTTAGTTAATTAGCAGCAGGTGGACATGTGGCTTGTGGCTTGTGTCTCACTCAGTCAGAGCAGAATATTGACAAATTTAATAGAATAAAATAAATACTTAACTCCATACCCACAAATTAATTTTCATTCATTTGCTCATAACTACAGTATGGTAGAGGTTAAGAGTATACGCAAATCAGTTAATAGATACAGGAGGTTAACATGAAAAGTAATATAGCCAAACTTGAATTGTCCTTCATTAGACACCATAGGGGTTTTAGACATTTCCTCTCTTGCTCAGATGAGACTAAACCTTCTTCTCTCCCTATACCATAGATGGCAGACCAGCAGGCAGCCATGTTTGGAGAGTGCTGCTTTGACGTAGGTGATGTCAAGATCACCATGGGCACGGGCACCTTCATGGACATCAACACCGGGAGTAAACCACATACGTCCATGGCAGGTAAGACAAAAGACTTGCACATAAAGATTATTAGATCTGGTAGCACTGGTTAGATCATCTAGTAGAGCACTCGCACCATTTACAAGGCCCTTTGCCTCATGTCATCCCCTCTCTCCCCACATATCCGGTCTCTCTCTCTTCAGCTGTTCTATCAAATAAAGTAATAAAATAAATAAATAATGATAATAAAAAAAAGATACTTAGAACCACATTTGTCCATACAGGCACGTTACTAGCCATTGTTTCCCCTCTGTAGGCCTGTATCCTCTGGTGGGGTGGAAGATTGGCTCAGAAGTGGTGTATCTGGCGGAGGGCAATGGAGCAGACACAGGCACTGCCATCAAATGGGCACAAAAGCTTGGTGAGTGATGAGTATGCAGTAGATCTGAAAGTAGCACGAAAATGCATCTGGCACAGTAGTTGAAAGGTTTTATAACACTTTTAAGGTTAAAAAACCCCAATGCTGGAATTGAAAGTTATCCATGTTTAAGAGAAAATCCTCCTTACACTGAATATGTTAGCGACTGACAGATTCAGATTGTGTGTGTGTGTGTGTGTGTGTGTGTGTGTGTGTGTGTGTGTGTGTGTGTGTGTGTGTGTGTGTGTGTGTGTGTGTGTGTGTGTGTGTGTGTGTGTGTGTGTGTGTGTGTGTGTGTGTGTGTGTGTGTGTGTGTGTGTGTGTGTGTGTGTGTGTGTGTGTGTGTGTGTGTGTGTGTGTGTGTGTGTGTGTGTGTGTGTGTGTGTGTGTGGTTACAGAGCTCTTCACTGACGTCCAAGAGACCAGCGCCATGGCTTACAGTGTCAGTGACTCAGACGGAGTGTATTTCGTCCCTTCCTTCAGTGGCCTGCAGGTACAGTAGATGTTCATGTGTATCTGTGTCAAAGAAAAATGTGTTTACTTTTATATACAGTTAGTATTTGGTTTAATGTGTAATCAACCATATGATAACATATGGTTATCATATGGTTAAATACATACATAACCACGTGTCTTCACTGTAGCACATATAATTTGATTTTTAACCAAGACAGGCATTGATTTACTTTTCTGTTTTTCATTTTGTCTGTCTATAACATGGTTATGTGTCTCTTTTTTTCTCTGCCCTCCATTGTGACCTGGCCTTTGTAAGTGTGTGTGTCCTGTATATATATTTTTTGGTTTTTACATTTATATGCAAAGTTTTCTAATGGTTTTATAATCAAGAGCTATACACAGTAACCTTGTAAAACAGTATAGCTGCACTCTTGCTGACCAGAGGCTGTTGAGTTTCACTTTAAAGCAAAAGGCATGAGGACTATATTGTTCATTTTTTAAAACCTTTTTTTTAATGAGGTCTGTTTTTTACTTACGGACATTTGACACGTTTGTATTTATACTGTATTTATCCAAAGGCTCCTCTGAATGATCCCAAAGCTTGTGCTTCCCTCATGGGCCTCAAACCTACCACCACTAAAGGTCATCTGGTCCGGGCCATTCTGGAGTCTGTTGCCTTCAGGTGAGTCCTTTTTTGAAGAGGTTGGTTCTGTTTAAACTCCTTTCTTATTAATGCTAACTGATAGTGTTTTCATGTACTGTTGTTATTCTGTGCAGAAACCAGCAGCTATTTGAGACAATGAGGGAAACTCACATTCCTATCACAAAGATCAGGTACCATTTTAATTTATTTTTGTTACTTTATTTGTGATTATGTGTAATTCAAGACCATGATCACATGGTATGGAGCACAAACAGAACATACAATTAGAAAAATACAATGGCACACCGCATGGCTAAAGTACAACAAATGTTACTTAAACAAAGTAAGGAAACTTTCATAAAGGCACCTAGTTCACAAATAATTTTTGACTTATATGATTAATAACTAAATTAAATTAAACATAGATGGGTGTTCTACATTCAAACCAAATATGATACTTGTCTTACAAATGGTTGTCATTACAAAGATTGAGGATATCTGGTTTCTATCCAGCCCTTTATACCCTCCAGTGACCTTAGGAATTCAGGAGTTGTTCACTGTAAAATTACAAATAGCCTGACTGTACTTTTGGTTTTCATACAACAGATACTTTTCCAGATTAAGCGCTTGTTTAAATTCTACATAAATATCACATTATACTGACTTTGACACTTTTACCTAAGCTGATCCTTCACCCTCTGTTTAACAGTTATAATTTTGTAATTATAATTGTAAATATAATTTTCTCTCAGATATTCTCCAATATGATATAAATGGCATCTTTCACCTATTTTAAGCCATCTATCATCCCTATCCAGAATATGAATGATAAGTGACTTATAATTGCTATATATAAGTATTCTGATATGTCAGAGGTTGCACACTTCTGGTGCAACTAGAGGTTAAGTGTCTTGCTCAGGGATACATTTGTGGATGTGTCACAGTGGGAATCACCCACACCAGAGGCATGTGTCTTGTGCACTGCGTCATCTCCACCCCCACACAACACAATTTGTACATAGAGAGCCTAAGTCACTGACTTCTGCTTCCAGCTCATGGGACCTTATTTTGGAAAAAAATATGTACGGTAGTCAATGGCGAGAGACAACTTATCTTTTTATCCCGTTAGAATTGAACCCTGAATTACACAAATGATGTTGGTCAATTTAAAATATAATTTTCCAAGTCAAGAAAGTCGCATTTTGTTGTAAAACAGTAAAGTTACATGTCGTTTTGTGTGAAACCTCAATATACTTCACCAACATGTTAGCGCGGTAAAGCTAGCTAACGTTCATTGCTTTCTTGCTACTAGCTAGATAATGTAGCTATGTTCCACACAGAAATATATCTCACCTGATGTGTTTAATCCAACGACTCCTGGCTCTTTTATCACATCATCCTCTCATGTAAGTGTTTTGATGTTAACTTCAGTAACGTTAGCTTCAGTCATTGACAGAGAAAGTTACGACGTCACATACACGACTTTTGGGTTTGTGGTCTTTGTAATTATCTTTTAACTCTACAAAGATCATATGTGTAATTCAGGTAAATTCAAACGGGATCAAAATATTTATATCCTGCCATTGACTACCGTACAATATTTTTCCAAAATAAGGTCCCATGGTGATCCACCGGAAGGGGAGGGACTTAGGCTCTCTGTAGTTGTCCCTGGATTCGTGGCTATAACAACCATAACATCCAGGAAGAACACCAACATAATGGGTGATGAGATAAATGCCACAACACAGTGATTCCACACATGTAGTATCAGAGAAACTCGCATCCCAGTGTTTTTTAAACCCAGGAACACACTAAGATACTTTACTTTTTGTTCTCACACAGCACTACCCTACCTGCTACTAAATAAATAGTCTGTGGTTGTAGTTATTTACGTTTACTGTAAAGATTGGACATCAACTCTAGAATTTGTCTCACAGCCCTTTTGATATCCCAACTTACAGTGCAATATCTGATTGTAGGTTCTGGACTTTAGCCAGCACACTGTGTGTAACAGAGTGGGGGCTTGTGTTCCTTGCCTCTACTAATGCAGTTCAGTTTTATTGGCAATGCATTATGGGTGTATGTTTCTATGATACTGATGCTGTTAAATTGAGTTGCAGTATAATTGAGTGCTCTTTCTTACTCTCTTTCTGTCTCAGGGTGGATGGTGGTGTTTCATCAAATGACTTCGTCATGCAGCTGACTGCAGACCTGTTTGGCAGAAAGATAGCCAGAACCCAACACCGTGAAATGTCATGTTTAGGGGCTGCTTTTGTCGCTGGACTTGGAGTGGGTATGCAGAGTTGCAGGTCTTTTAGGCTATCACAACCAGCTGTGTGAAGCTGTGGGTCTTTAAAGAGGCTACTCAGCAGAAACTTGTAAAGAATTTGAATAGCAGCTTTGTCAAGCAGTTAGACACAAACACTTCAATGTTTCTCTTTACTTTCACTTTCTGTCTTTGTTTTTTACCTAAAAATATTACAACACTTGGTCATGACATCGAGTTTCATTTGAAAGGTAATGATCAAAAGTCCTATTTTTATTCTTGGCACTGGCAGAAGCAGCAAACTGAAAGGCTGTTCTTTGTTACATAACCTGTTTTCCATTTAATTATTCACATTATGTAATTAGATTGTTATACATTAGTCAGTGCTTAATCAAATCAAACACAGAAGATGGATTTGTTCTTGTTGTTTTAATGGGCCAAAAGCAGGTGGTGCTGATGACCGAATAATCATGTGAATCAAGTGGCTGAGAAACATTAGTTCTTAGTGGATCAGTAACTAATAGTTTTGGGTGATATGTAAAAAAAAAAACAAAAAAAAAAAAAAACGTTGAATTGCATTGTGTTTAGGGGCATAGACTCAACTGTATCACTCAAAGTGCTGAATCCTGTGTGTATCTGATTTCCTGTGTTGTATATGGGTAATATTAAAAGGGGTTTGTGTTCATGTTTTTTACTTAAGTCTTCCTCTGACTTCAACTGCAGGCTTCTGGAGGACCAGGGAAGAGCTGAAGAAGCTGCAGAGTACCGACGAGATGTTCTTGCCCCGAGGAGGAGCACCCAAGGAGGGTGCTGGCGGCCCAAGTCAGCAATACATCCCTGTCATCCACAGCTGGGAGGGAGCTCTCAGACGCTCCATGAATTGGTACAACAAGCCATGACACTGGATGCGCACACATGGACATCCAGGGTTATACCAAAGGAGATGATGATTTTTGAGTACATGTAGGGTTAGCACAGGTCTGGAAAGTCCTTAAAAGTGCTTGGAGTCTTGTGAACTCCATCATCTCAAATCTGTCGGATTCACGCCAACAGCCACCTTCACAGCCTTGAATTGTTGCCCACATACTGAAGTTACCATATCTTTTTATAAGTTCTTCACATCAGATTTTTAACATTCCAGATCTCAAGCCACCGGTGCCTTTTCATGTTACAGCATTTTATTCAGATGGAAAAATAGTTGTACATTTTCCCACATGGGGGTGCTAATGACTGACTTTAGAGCTTTTTAATTTATGAACTGGCCATAGCAACCACATGCCATGTGTTAGTAAGGAGCCACAGATTCAAATTATTGATATCAGATTCGCACTTGATAGTCTGTGAGGGGGGAAAAAAAGGACTTCTTCCATGACGCCTCAGAATTTAAAGCGCTCTAAATAGGAAGCAGTATGTCATGTTTTTACGTGCCTTTTTTTGTTGTTGTTGATCAAACTGTATTTTCATGTTGTCATTTTAAAAAAATGTCAGTCGAAAACATGTAGTCACACATGTTGCCTTTCTGGAGTAGCTTCGTTTTTGTAATCATTACTTATTGCTGCACGCTTCCACAGTGCTTAAACGTATCTTCAAGACTAAATACAGTTATTAAATGCAATGATGATGTTGTTGAAATGTGACTGGAACAAAAACAAATTGTACATGTTTTGCTCTGTTTAAGGGAATCCTGGATATGTATACTATATACTGGATTTTAGCATTTCAGCACCTCATTGTCAGAAATGCTAGTCGCTCCTCTGATGCAACACAGGCAATGAACTGAGTATAAGAAGTATTTTTAAAGGCTTATGTGTCAGATTAGGGATTCAGAGTTTTAGCTTTGCTGTAATAGCTGACATATCTTGATGAAGTCACAGATTAGCACCTTCATGCGCTGTTGTTTAGGAACAAGTTGATCAGGGATATTGAGCTGCAATTAATCGATTAGTTGTCGACTATTAAATTGTTAAGAAAAAAAAGTCAAAAGGCTCTGATTCCAGCTTCTTAAATGTGAATACTTTCTGGTTTCTTTACTCTTCTATGACAGTAAACTTGATATCTGGGTTGTAGACAAAACAAGGCATTTGAAGATGTTTAAATAGACCAAACAACTAATCGATTAATCAACAATGAAAAGAATTGTTAGTTGCAGCCCTACAGGGATAGAAATAGGAACTGAAACAGAATGAAGACACATAGAAATATGTATTGAGTGTTATTGCTTGTTGTGTAGTCATTATTTTAGTTATTAGTTGTTTATGGTTGAATTGTTAAATGGGGGACAACCATGTTGATGTCATATGATGAAGTTTGACTCAAATCGTTTACCTGACTTGATGAATTATGTCACAAATGACTAAGAAAATGTAAACTGTGAATCTTATTCTAGATGTGTTCTACTTGCTGGGTATTGTTCAATGCTTTCACCTTTCATAATACTGCAATATTCTTACTACATATATTTAAAGGTTTGTTATGCAAAGAGACACAATGTATAATGCAAAAAATTAACACCTCAGATCAAAATGGCATTCCAGATCGTCACGTGTGTGATTTTCTAACACTTGTACTTGTTCTTGAATGGCAAATGTCATCCCAAGCTGCTGGGAAATGACAAACAATACATTTATGTGATCATACATTGGCATTAAAAGTGCTTTGTATGATGTGAAAGGGCTAATATTAAAAACCGAAATGATCAGCTGTCGTTTGTGGTGATTTGAGGGTCTTGTGCATACAGTAGGTGTCACCGACACGGTGCGTGAACAGATGCCGCCTGAAGGGTTTTACTTCCACATGGACTCAGGGGAAATGCTGTTGTCTTGTGCCTGGGGAATTATCAGATACACAGGCTGTTAGATGAGTGGAGGGATTGCTTCCCCCTGATGTGACCGCTGTGAGGGTTGCTATGGTAGCTTGCGGATGGAGTGACTGAGAACAAATGACAAATGGGGTGTGTTTTCCTGCTCATGGTGCTGGTATGGTGAAGGGGGCGCTAATTGAGTGCTCAGAAAGGGACAATGGGAGGATTGTGTGTTTGTCCCCTCAGAGGAAGAGCAGAAGTGAGTTTTGTGTACGTTGCATAGATCCATACCGGACCCCCACACATAAACACTTCCTCTACCCTAGCTGTCAATCTCAGCACTCACTCAAACATGGGCAGTTTTTTTGCCAGTGGGGTTTGGCTTGGCAGTGGGATGCCTTCACAGAGAAAAATGTGCTAGAGTGAGTGAGACAGACAGGACTAGTCCATGAATCAGTGCTGCCTGCTCTCACACTAATCAGTGAAGTGTGTGTGTGTGTGTGCGTGTGCTAGTATTGTACTTGCTGCAGCATTGTATGAGTTGTGGTGGACCCTGGCTTGCAACAAATTAAATCTGACAGCAGGAACTGGATGCAATGCGACCACCGCTCCAGTCCCCCTCCCCCATACGATCTGAACCCTGTATGAGGGTCATTATATAACTAACTAACTCTCTCTCTCTCTCTCTCTCTCTCTCTCTCTCTCTCTCTGTCTCTGTGACACACTGGGGTTGTTCCATGGTGTGTCAGGGGGTTGGAAGTTAAGCTTTTGTCTTTTTGTTTTTTTGTTCCTGTCAGTGTCTCAGCTTCTCCCCCTGCTGCCCAGCATGACATAGTCTACATGTGTACAGACTGGCAAAGCAGAGACTTGAATATAAGTAACATGAAATACATTTGTTACGCAGGTGTAGCTGATGTATTTATATGAATATGAAACGACGCTGGGATAAGACGTTCTGTTAAGGTTAACACATCTGTTAACAGTCCTTAATTCTCTCTCTCTCTCGCTCTCTTTTATACACACACTCTACTTTCAGTAGTTCTCAATTGCCATAGCAACAAGGATTGGCAAATGCTCCAAATATCTATGCAGTCTACCAGTCACATATGCTGATCACTGGCATTATTAAATTGTATAGAAGCTATGTTTGTGAGTATGTCCACTAAACCAGAGCTTGGCAGTGCATCGGCTGTTGTCAATACACTCCTATAGGATTGGTTTGGTGACTCGCATACCTCCAGAAGAGCTGTGGTGAATCTATATTAAATCAGGATGATAAATAGGGCGAAGCCACTCACTTTGAGTCCTAAAATACTGAGGTTTCACACTGAAAGTGTTCTTGTTTTGCTGACGGATTCCACAGCCTGTACACACTCATGTAAAATGGAGATCCCAGACTGTTCCCAAAACGCATGTAGCCATTATAATATAATTGATCAGAAGAAAGATAGTGTGCGCTCTATTTATAATTTGTGCGCGTAACGGTGCGTCTCAGCGCGTCTCTCGTTCATTAGCCAATGCACATCCATCTGGTCGCACTGCATCAGCTGCCACGACGGGGCTTGTGTGGACGTCACAGATCCCCCCTCCTTTCCTTTCCTCACCTTCCCCTTCTCGTTTTCTTTTTTTTTTTGTTCCGCCAGAGCATCTCTCTCCTTCTCTCTCTACACCGCCCACTCCACTCACCGCCGCCTCGCCGGCTTCTTCGCCTCACTACATCGCCCGCTGCCCTTTGCTGCCTTTTTTTAGGGAGAAGAAACCGTGCATTTTGGAACCAAACAAAATATATAAATACCACCATGGCGAGTACCGAGGATAAACCTGCCAACAAGGAGAATGCGTCCAGCTGGAAGGACTCCTTCTACAACCCGAGGACCGGGGAGCTGATGGGTCGCACGGCCAGCAGCTGGGGTAAGGATCCCCGTTACACAGCAGGCAATTAGTAGATGTGCTTTGACATTCACGGGGCTTATACCTAACCTGGTGTCTTCCTCTACGCATTTTCAGAACATTCATAGATGTGTACCTTTTGAATATATTGCCTGCTACATATTTCTGCGCATGGGTCGATTAAAATGACTGCCATATAGATCTTGGATTAGCGGAGGAGCCATCATTGGCCTACATGAAGGTGTAAAGGAGAAGCCTCTACCAAGAGGCTCACCAAGATGATGATGCTATCAAAGGTGTGCGCCAGTCTCTCTTTGCTGCATAGGCAGAAATAACCAACCAGGTGATGATCAATCCCAACAGCAGAGAATTCTTTATTAATATTTATCATCTGCATTTATTAGGATTACCAGGAGATTGTGTTCACAGTGAAGACCCCAGCTGATAAAACCCCCCAGTGCCTGATCATATTTGAGGAGTGTGCTACAGCATTCCCGGGCTGAATCCATGGCTGATCAGGCCATACATTTTATGTAATGATTCCCCAGTTATTTCCAGAGTGAGGTAGTAACACACCACCCTTTCTCCAGCAGCCAGCTCCTATAGGCTAGCGCACGGCTGTCAGGCTGCCTGGGCCCCTGTGCTGCTGTGCAGTGGGATGCTCCGTTGCAGTTGCATGGCCGCCCACATTAGCATGCCTGTCAAGGTCAAATGGGATTCCCTCTCTCCTCTTTCTCTCTCTTTCACACACTAGGCAGGTGCATTGTGGGATACTGTTGGAGAGGAATGAGAGAAAGGGGGGTGTACAACAGGAAGCTGAGGGGTCCATCCCCTTTTTTCCTTCTTTTTTGTCAACTTAGAGGGCATCTGTGCTGTGCAAGCTGGATGGTGGTGAACCATTTTGAGTCAGATGTTTCCATAACTGTACCCTGCATTGGATAAATGAGGCTTCAGATGCTTTGAGCACAGCAGCGTCAGCCAAGCATCTTGTGTGATTTGAAAACTGAGGGGTCTCCAGTCAAACTATGGCCTCAGATTTGTCAGCAGTGAGTAGCATTCCCCCCCTTCCCCCGATCCAAAATGGTTTCTCTCAAAGGGACTGTACACTCAAATGACAATTTCCCTCAGTCTGCAGATGAGGAAAGATGTGGAGAATAAGAAGGCTCACAGTTAATTATACATGACCACTCTCTGTCTTTTTCCCTCATTATGTCTGCTCTCTCTTTCTATCCTCTTTCTGTTTCTCTAACTTCCTCCAGCCCTCATCCTGTTGTTCTACCTGGTTTTCTACTGTTTCCTGGCTGGTATGTTTGCCCTGACCATGTGGGTGATGCTGCTCACTCTGGATGACTATGTGCCAAAGTACCGAGACCGTGTTCCCTATCCAGGTAAGTGTCTCTCAACGGCAAGTACATGGGCAGGAACACGGCTTTCAGCTACCGTAACTGGCAGCATTTCTCTTTGAGGCATTCATTATTCATACTCCCACCAATGAGATGCTGTCACAATAATGTGCTACATTACAGATGCTTTTTGTATTGATCTGTTTTGAAGTCTCTTCCTGTGTGATATCAGCAGTGGAGCTTGTCTGAGAATGTTTTCTCGCAAGCTGTAATTGGAGACAAATCCCGATGATGACTGTGCATTAGTTTCTCCTGTTGGGATCATTTGTTACTTTACTATATTTACTTCGCTTTGTGTCTTTGTTGCAGGATTGGTGATTCGTCCCAATTCATTGGATATCACATTCAATAAATCTGACCCGCTGAAGTATGCAGATTATGTCCAACACCTGGAGTCCTTCCTGCAAAGTAAGTGCACTTCTCCCAGATAAAGACATAAATTAATATTAAAACAGATTCCACTGTCTTTTTCCAATGGATCTTTCCATTTACCTGAATGTATCTCTGTTCATCTCCGTTTCTCTCCATCTCAGGATATAATGATACAGAGCAGGAGAAGAACGAGGAGTGCCCACAAGGAGAGTATTTCATGCAGGATGACAGCGAGGACATGACGAAGAAAGCTTGTCGCTTCAAGAGGGGCGTCCTGAGTCTCTGCTCTGGCCTCTCTGACACCAACTTTGGCTACTCTGAGGGAAAACCCTGCGTGCTGCTGAAGATGAACAGGGTAAAACCCACTTTACTCCTTTACAAATTCACAATTTTGTCTTTCAACCTTTTCTTCCTTCCCACACAGCTTGCATCTCCATTGGTTTAGTCGCTTGCTGTCACTTCCCAAAATGAATTGATTAATTTCCAGTTTTGGTTCCACACATGCAGCAGCCTTTCTACACAGTCTCAACCTCTCCTGTTTCCCTCACCTCTTAGATCATCGGCCTGAAACCTCGTGGGGATCCCTATATCAACTGCACAGTAAAAGTAAACACACATTTTTCCATGCTATACTGTACATGTGCTACTTGCTTGTATGTGTATTTTTTTTCTTTTCATTTCTTTCACACAAAAAAAGCACTGATGACCATAACAGTCTCAATATTTTCTTTCTGTTAAACTTAATTTAATTTCTTCCTTCTTTTTGTTTGTTTTGTGTCTGATTTCTTTCTGCATGCTGTCACTGACGGCTTTAGGGTAAGATAATATGTAAATTATCAGGATAAGGCCAGTAGGGGTGTTAACACATTTTTATTATGTAACAGTTCATTATGCATGCCTCTAAACCCATCCTAGTGCCATTTTCAAGTCATTTTAATCCTCTAGTCCTTAGCCCTTTTTACAGATTGAAGTGGAACACATCATGTTTTCTACTTCGTTTAAATCTCTTCACTAACAGAGGGTCGTTGATTTTCCCTTTTTTTCCATGTCCTGTCTCATGTGATCTTGAAAAAATGTCTCATTTTACTATTAATTTAACATAATAAAATGCATTTAATTTAATGTAAAATGTACATTGACTAACACGTGTTCGTCTGTGCAGAGAGACAACCCAATCCAAATGCAGTATTTCCCCAGTGAGGGGCGTATTGATAAGATGTATTTCCCCTACTACGGCAAGAAAGCCCATGTAAGTATTCATCCCCTGTCAGATCATGTCCCCTAACGTCCTCACATGGATGTATTATTGACAGATGGCATCTCTTTTCCTGATGCAGGAGACTTACGTGCAGCCCCTGGTGGCAGTGAAGCTGCTGCTCACCAAGGAGGACTACAACAAGGAGCTGTCGGTGGAGTGCAGGGTAGAGGGCTCTGACCTCCGGAACAACGATGAGAGGGATAAGTTCCTGGGCCGCGTTACCTTCAGGATCAAGGTGGTGGAGTAAAAGTGAAGACGGCCAGTAAAAGAGAAACCCGAAGCAGAGGCTGCCAACGTTTGCTAAGGATATATGTTTAAAAATGTAAAAAAATAATAATAATAATAACAAAAACAATGGAAGGAAGTGTCAAATAGGTCACAAAGGCGGCACTTTGGAGATGTGGCCAAACAGTCTGATGAAGTTTGGTTTCCAGTAGGAGAGCCGGTAAAATACAGATATTGATTGTTGCTTTGATGACATTTCTGACCCTTCTTTCCTTCATGATTCCTTGCTGACCTCCTCAAAGCCCCCCAGAACAAGACACAGGCTCTGCTCCTGACCCCCTTCATCCTTTCTTTCACCTGTTGCACTGTTCGTTCATCGCTCAGTTTGTTTTTTCTTAGCATTGATGTGATTAGAAAACTTATAGCCATTGCAACCAAGCCATTTGGAGCAGTTCTGTTATCGCTGATTCAACTTTTTAAAACGTTTTTTAGATCTTCCTGCTATCGGGAAGAGAGTGTTGTTTTCATCTCTCCAAACTGTATGATCGACATTATTATCGCTGGCGTTGAGAGGATTTTTATCTTGCTGTATAGTACAATTGAGAAAGTAGAACATTTCATACATCTCCAGAGTATTCACATTATCACACCACAGAGACTTCATAGGAACGTTCGTTGATAATCAAGTATAGCCACTGTATCCCTGTATATGAAATGCCAATTACAAAGTCCCTTTCTACATATAAATACATTGTGATCCTTACCATATTTAGGGAATTATAGATAGATCTTTGTGTTGTGGTCTGCATAGCCACAACCCAGTCTTGTGCCGTCTGTCTGTCTGCATGTCCGTCTGTCTGTCTGCCCGTCTTCCTGTTTACTCACCTCTCCACTGCAATAGCCAACATGTGGGTGAGCCCTCCAGGACTAGATAAGTTGTCTCGCTCCACCTCGCCGGGTGCTGCGCAGTGATGGTGGCTGAGGTGACACACACACACAGAAAGTACAGTGTACAGAGGCGCTGGGAAAGCATTGCAAAATATAAAGAGTTCACTGTAACTATGTACTGTATATCTTTACGTGATCTGTATATCTATCTGGGTCTCAAAGATTGTTAGTTTTCTCTCTTCTTCAGCCTGTTGATCTGATTGTCTGCCAATCTATTACTCTTCAATGTATATATCTACACTATCTACCATATTTACTTAATTCACACTGTATTTTTGTCACAAAACACAATGTCTGTGCACTGTAAAGAAATAATTTAAGCAAAGATTTACAGGAAATTATCTTATTCAAAGCTATGTTTACACAGTCTTAAAAGGAACCCGCATTTGAAAGAACAACTTGTAACATCTCTTCAGGGTGCCTTAAGACCTGATTAAATAAATTGTGGAATAAAAGTGATTTTGAAGAAAAAAACAGATTTACATCTGTATAATTTGTAATCATTTCTTAATTTGGGTTCTAGCTTCTAGGTCCTTTTAATTCAAGTTAAAAAATACAAAAAATGTAAAAATAGCTCAGTACAAGTAAGAGTACTGCATGTTGAATCACATTTTAATAAATCTACAGTATTATTTGTAATATATATTTAAAGTGTCAAAACATTATGTTATATCAATCACAAAACGTTTTTACACACTCGGGGTCCAGATCTTACCCACAGAAATACACAAATACATACCCACATACAAATACGTATTTGTACATGTGTATAAAAAAACTTTTACACAACTAAAAGAAAAGAGATACATAAAAAAGATAACCACTGTCCTACCAGGAGACAATTGTAGCAATGTTAACACATACAGGATTGGCAGTGTGTAGTACTTTAGCCATATGTTTGTCAAACCCAAAATTATTAGATTTCTGAATCATTAAGCTAGCACATGAATTCATATGAGACATTATTAGATTAAAAATGCTGATGCATCAATGTCTGGGCAGCATTTTACTGTAGCTGGTCGAGGTTGAGTTAGTTTTAACTGCTTTACATACAGTCGGCCTGTTTAGTTCAGTTGTTCCCATCCTGGTGTTCATGCCCCCTCCAGGGTTACAAGATACATCTGAGGGGTCATGAGATGGGTTCTGCTGTTACAAATGTGTAGTCAGTTTTGGGATTTTCTACAATCTTTGCTTTTATTTTGTAAAATATTGGAAACTTTGAGTATTGGGCCTCGAAAACAGTTATATAAATGGAACCATCTAAAAAGTTAAGAGGGGAAATATCTCTAGTGGGACTGACATCTGAAATGCGAGGGGTCTTAACCATACACTGCTTTTTGTAAAGGGCCATAAGCCAAAAAGGTTGGGAACCACTGATTTAATCTTTTAAAAATGCACTGTATGTGTGTATATATGTTTTTTTGTATGTAACTGTTAAATCCTAATTTATAATGTATCTTAGTAACTATAGCTGTCAGATAAATGTAGCGCAGTAAAAAGTACAATGTGTTTCCCTAAATGTAGTGGAGTAGAAATATAAAGTAGCACTTAATGTAAATACTCAAGTACAAGTACCTTAAAGTTCTTCAGTTGTTGAGTAATCACTGCTTTTAGTCAGGTTTTTAGCCTGGTACGCAGTATCTCTGTTTCTTATTTACCCAAATTAGCCAAAAACGCTATTTGAATGAATGCATGGAAAATTAAATTACTCAATACACAGGAATTTAAATTCAGACTTGTTTGTGTGCTTCCTAACATGCTAGCTGAGAGAGACCGGGCAGATTTAGAATTAGATTGTTTTGGTAATCTTTTGCCTTCAGTCAGTTGCCACTCAATCACCATCATTGTAGTACAAATCTGCTGCCACACGAGGGAGCTAGAAACAAGACAGGCAGAGCTGCTGGTGACCGTGTGGCTCAAACATGGTGCTGCCAGAGGGGCTGGGCAGCTGCAGAAACTGAGGAGGTTAGTGACGCATTGCCCATCTCTGCATCTTGTGGTATTCCTGATTACAAAAATCGATGTAGACAAATCCACATAATTGAACATGCCATTGGTTTCCACAACAATCTCAAAAGAGTCTCCCCCACTGAGGTCATATCCAATAAACATATTTATATTATATTTATTTATAAATTCATATGCTAAAAATTAGTCTAACAAAAGAGGGACCAACACTTTATTAGCTCAACCCTTTATTCTATTTCTAATGATTTTAAATCACCTGTTTAAGTCTAAGTGAGCCGTTGGTTCTGAGCTGTGTCAGGTGCGTGTTTAGACTATGAGGTAGAATTCAGAATATATCAAGTCAGTTTTAAAAGAAGTCTGATCACGCCTGTCTGCTCTAATTTCACAGCACCTCCATCCATCCAGCTCCCACAGCGCCCGAGGCAGCATCCGCCTTGTCCTTCACTGTCAACAGCAGTCTGAATCCAAGTCCTGCTACATGTGAGATAAGCTCTTGGGGTTTAGCTGCAGCACGAATCCACCTGAGTGCCTACTGAACTCTTGCCGTCCTTGAGTTACAACGCTGTAAACAAGTCTTGGTTGAGACAAAACACAAAAAAACTCATATTTTCATTTGTCTATTTCTTGGACTTATGGTCAAAGAAACTGTAAACTGAAAGTCTGAGCTGGAAAAATCTCCCATTAACGAGTGTATATGTGTTTTATGTGTTGACGTTTAAATCTTTTCCACTAGTATTTTGCAGAGATTTGCTAAAATAAACCATTGGTGGTCTCACTTTCCTCTTTTCAGTACTTGCAAGGAACTGGCCCACTTTTAGACTTGTCTTTTAATAGTATTCATACAGCATTCTCTCTAAAAATCAAATGTCAAAATGTGGCGAAATAAGGTTTCTCAGCTCAGCACTGTAGCTGTAGTTTTCTGCTCAGACCCGTTACTTGACAGTAACATCAAGATGCTTCATTGTCTGAGAGGATTTGGAGCTGATTTAAGCAAAGAAGGCGCAAGGATACATCGCCTGATCAGATAAGAGTTGAACTTGCCCAGCTGTGGTGGCCTGGAGCACAGCCTGGCTGTAGTCAGCATCCAGAAAGGGATTAATGCAACTGATATTTTTAGGTTTTACTCCAGAGTCCTCAGCTGCACTTTCTCTGTGGTTATATATAGCCCATGAGTAACGTGGCACAATTTGAAGCAGTTCTCTGACGCTGGTGGAGAATGTGCTCTTTAAGTGTTGTTGAGCCTCAAGACAACAAATGAGACGAACACATAAATATTCATAATCACAGAAAAGACACGTTAAAAGACATATTTTAATTTGTTCAGTTGATTCGGGATTCAATGAAGTTTCTGCTTTACATCTGACATTTCTAGTAGCAATATTAGTTATATTTACAAGTACATGTAATACATATATTTAAATCATTTTAACATTAACTGTAAAAACTCAACTGTGGAAGATCTGGGACTTTAAAACCTTTAGCAAATAATTACCCTGAGACAAGTAAACAAGAATAACAAGGAATTTCTTTTGAACTAACCCAAGTCTCTATACTCAACGACCACAGCAGTGGAATCATTTTCAGAATCTGGCTAGTTTGAGTTATTCACACTCATCTCAAACTAAGACAAGAGCGCCTTATTATCACAGTGTTTCAGGGCCGTGCACAGGGCAACCTGCACATTCCTGGTACAGGAATTTATTGCCCTACTCCTCTAACTTTTTCTCCCTCAAATGCAGCAATTAACTTATGTTCCTGCACTCATCTCTCTCCCAGCATCCCAGGGCTAAAGAGTCTCCATTCTCACTAAGTTGAGCCTCATAGCACCAACAGTAGAGCGACTCAGTGAGGAGGTGTTCAGTATTCCTAATATTCTGTAAAAGAAATCCTACATTTAAATTACTTACATTTTTGCCTTTCTCTCTGTGCATAGATTTCTCTATATACAATACATACAATCGCAACAATTGCTTTTTTAGCTTTTATAAAACTAAAATGTTGGACAGAGGGGAAAACAGCTGGATATAAATACAATGATATATATAATATTAAACACTAGAACTGTCTCTGTCACATGTAGAAACAGTGTGACCTTATGATGGCATCAATAAAGGGCATAAGATGGCGGGGGAGTGCCATGAGATGCTGTAACTTTCCCACAATCCAGTAGAGGTTGCTCTAACTGTGTTTCAAGGTTTAAAAGGGCCTTCAAATATCTACATGTGTGTTTGTTCCAATTTGTTTAAAACTTAATGTTGAATGTTTCCATTGCAAACACTTTTCAAAAATTCCTTTCTTAAACAGTTTGGATTTAGACACTTCTTCATAAATTAATATAGTATTCCTGGCTTGTGCTTGCCTCTTTCATAAAACATGATTCATCTTTTACATCAATGTTAATGTGCATCTGACTGAGAACACAAACAAACTGTTGAGTGTTATCACTGGTATATAATATCAAACATGCGGTTTCTTAAAGCACTATACACGTGCCGGACTTCTTTTCATCATCGCCACCTCCTCCACCCTCTTTCCTGTTGGGATCATTGAGCTCATCAAATAGTCCAGTGTCAATCATCTCCTGCTGCCACTGAATGGGCACGGCACCTGTGCTAAACTCCTTGAAGAACTTTTCATCATTGGTATCTAACTCGATGCCCTTGACGTCAGAGAACTCGGCAATGTCGCCGGTATCCTTTGCATAGACAACGTTGGGCTTGGGCGTCCAAGGAGGATCCACCAGCCCGGCCTCCAGACGGGGGAAGTTGATAGTCTTGAACCATTGGTGCTTCCTAGGATCCTCCATGTTGTTCCTAATGAGAACATTATACTTCTTCATCAGTGTTTCAAAACTACAGTGCTAGACAGAAGTGCCTTCATGGGTTTGTGCAACATTTTGGTTAGAGTTAGGGGAAGGCTTCCTCAGCTCAGGGTTAGGGTTAAGCTGCCTAACATCCATTGTGCCATGAAGATCTCTGGGACTAACGCTAAACATTTAATAACATTTAATAGATAAATTTTTTAAAATATTGAAATAAAATGGACACAGACACAGTATGCTGCTAAAAGTCAGAATGCACAGACAAAGCCACTGTATGCAAATATCAGGCAGAGCTTGCTTATAACTATACAGAGTAGAAGAACCTCTTACTTCATGCCAAGGCGCTCATCAATTGGCTTCTTGAGGAACTGCTGGATGATGTCCTTGGTGGCTGCATCAAAGCACTTGTGCTCCCACTTGGGTTCCTCGTTGAGAATGCGGCGCTGCACCTCCTCCTTCTCCACCTTCTCCTTCTTGGAGTCAGGGCCTTTGAAAGGTGTGTAGCCAGCCACCATCTCATAGATACTGCAGCCCAGGGCCCACCAGTCCACTGATGTCCTGTATGGAGTTTTGTTCAGGAGTTCAGGGGCCATGTAGGCTCCAGTACCAGCCTAAAGGAGAGAGAGAATGGTAGAAGGGGAAGATTGAATATGAAGTACATCTATAAATACTTTTATTTTATTGCTTTTACTTTGTTAGAA